GCCCAGTTGGGGAGTTCATGGCTAGTGGAGGTTGCTTGCAATCCCTCTGGAACCAGGCTGCCCGGGACATTATGCCTGCAAACCTGAAAACAAAACAGTACTGTAAGGAAAACTCACCTGTACTTGCAGCCTATAGTAGAACTTGGTTCTGTCCATTTCAGTTTTACCTGATTTTAAACCCAAACTAAAACTTCTAAATTACTTATTCTCTTAAATATGTTTAGGGGTTTATTTTTCAAAATTGTGTATCTTGTCGGAATATAAAAAGCAGAAGGTGGGGAGGATGGGGAGGGAGGAGGAGGAAAAGTCGTCACTAGGTCACTAGGTATGGGCATACCTTCTCCACAGGAGAAAAAAATCAAACATAAAATTACACCTTGTAACAAAATCGCAAAGTCAGAACCAAATGGCAGCACTTGAGCAGAGCCTGGGTCCCCTCCCCACCCTCGCAGTAGCTGCAAGAAGCAGTGGCCAGAATCTCTTAATATCATGCTGCACATGCAACTCAACAGAGCCAAAATTTTTATTAAAGCGTCCAATATTTTACATAAAAAAATTAATGAAAATATCCTTCAGGAGCTGCACAAGCAACAGCATAAAGTGGGACCAGGGCCAGAGTAAACTCGGTCCTCTAGACGGTGCTTATTGATTTCATTTATCACTCGAGCCCAGAATCTCAGTGAAAGGTCAGCGAGGCTTGTTGTTTACTCTCCTGCCCAGCATTTTTTATCAGTATTAATAAGTCATCATTTGCTGTGGGTGCTGCAAGCGCAGGGGGAAGATAAATCAGTTCTTTTAGTTTGCACTGTGGACGATTCCTTAGTTTTGTTTGTATATGAAAAAGCGGGGTGGGTCAGGTAAACGAGGCTTGCAAATCTATCTTCTGTCATAGATCCTCATCCTAAACGGCTGTTACAGCCAGAGAAAGTGAACTCCTGTGTGTTTATCTTTCATTAGATATCTTAGAAAGTCAAGCAAAGTCCCTTAACAAAAAAAAAAGGGATATCTATGTGGAGGATCCTGGGATATTTGATCTCAGAAAAGAAAGCGAGGGAAAATGGAGAAGGGGGGGGGGTGCATAACTGGGCAGAGAAATTGAAGTTCAAATTGAATTCAGTCACTAATAAAAAGGCAAACTGAGGGAGGAAGTGATGCTGGGAAGCTCATTTTATTGTCCGAGAGAGGTGGGGAATGAGCGTTATCAGTGAGAAAGTAGGATCAGGAGTCCAAATACATTCTTGTCCTACAGCTCAGAGTCCTGCTCTTAGCCACTGAAAATAGGCAGGACTTGGGGACATTCCTCTTTTGTCTTTACACAAAGGCACCCCGGGAAATATGTTTTGATCTAGAAAAGAGGAAGCAGACTTGAAAACAAGAACTTAGAAGGTGGAGTTTAAGGGAATTTGCGTTCACGCCCTGAGCCTTGGTCAGGTTGTGAAGAAGACAGTGTATCTTGTCGGCGCTTTCTTCCCTCTTCTGGTCCAAAGTTTTCTTTCCCAGGAAACCCCATCTTTTTGCTGTCCTTACACTCAGCCAGTGAGAACCAGCCTTCTAAACCTAGCAACAGGAAGAGGCCTCCTTCAGCAACTCAAGCGGCACGCATCTGGCAAGCAGGCCACCTTGGTTCTCCTATAGGTACTTAAACACCAGGCGGTTCTACAGTTCTTCCAGAAAGACTGTAGGAATAGGTCCGGAGACAAGGGGAGGGAGTAGATTCTTGCTGTCAGGAGGACCTGAAGTCTGCGACTGTATCCTAGTCTGCAATTTAACCCCAAAGAAAGATTTCTCTGAGGAATTCATCTCGCAGGATTCACCCTGCTTAGTTTTCACGGAAGTGAATGGATAAAGGGGGCACCAAGTCCCTGCCCTTCCATCACCCGAGGGCTCTTATTCTGCCTCCATACTAACTCCGATTCAACTTAATGGGGTTTCTAAATAGATGTCCAATGTAATTATGTTGAAGTGAATAAATGTTTGTGAAATATTATGACAATACCTACAGACTCCAGTAGAGATGCATGCAATTACAGAACGTGGTCAACAGATGGCAGCATTTCTACACGCGAATTCATATTGAAGTTTATTAACAAAAGTTCTCAAAAATGCTAATATGAAAAAGCTGATTTTAGTTAGTATCTTAGTTTTTTATGCATTGGTCACTCAAAAGCAGTTTTGTCTCTTATAGAAGGAACTGCAAAACAAAGATACATCTAAGCACATACACACACACGCACATACACAATCCCTTCAACTTGGTTTGTATAGAGATGAAACTAGAAGTAAAATGTGGGGGGACCCACCACCTGAGCACCCATCCGTGCAGCCACAGTTCTTTAGGAAATGGGTCTCCGTGACGCTTTCTCGTTTCCAGTCTCCAGTGGCTCCTGCCAGTCTGTAAATGCCTATGGCCGGTTCTGTCAACCGCTTTTAATTCTCAGATTAAGTGCTTTATGAGGCTGAACATAGCAACACAAATATTTATATCACTCCCACATGTTACAACCTCAGCTGCAGTGTTTTATATAAAGGGCCCCAAATGAATATTGTTATTGATAGAAATTGGATACACCCAGAGGGCTTAGGGATCACTGAGAACAAAAAAATGGAACACACTGAGAGATCCAAGACACTTGCTGGGAAAGGTAGGAAATCCTCCAGCAACGACAGCTTCCATCCCTCAAGACCAGTGATAAGCAGAGAGGGGTTTATGTTGGAAAACAGGACCCCCAGTGGTATTTACAATAACAGATACGAATTTCAGTAATACTGTTTGGGAAATAAGAGTAGCTTATAAGGATTCAAAAAATAATGTGGAAATATTGTTATATGCTAGAGTCGTTTGTTAGTATTTGCTTGTTTGGTGTTCCTAAACTGTTTCTGTGATGGTCAGCCTTCTGGCTCAGGAACCCAAAATTTGCATAGATGCACTGGGTGGAACAGAGGTCTGTGAGAAGTCCAAGGCCTTGGCTGCGGGGATTGGTGGAGCCACACACTGCAGGCTGTGGGCTCCTAGACAGATCTTTTCCTGCAGTTCTACTTTTCATCATTGACAAACTTAGGGCATTTCTAATAAATAGCAGAAAATGTTTTCAGTAAGGTTCACACAACCATCAGCGAGGATGTCTTTATGAAATGGTCTGGTGTCTGAAGGTAAGCCTGAAGTCTTATGCGGGGTGGTAGTGTTTGCAGCTGGCTGCACTTGGCCTGGCCAGGAGCTTCCACTAGGTTAACTCTTAGCAACAGCCAGATCATTTCTGTAGGAAAGGTGGAAGCTGCCCAGCGGTTGAGTTGGTATTTCAATTCTAATGTCTTCATAAATGCCTCCAAGCAATGATTTAAAAAATGTTCACAATTGTTATTATCATCAATTATCAAAATACTAAGGTTTTTTTTTCAGCCTTCTGCTTTTACTATTCTAGATGTTTTTATGTGTTGGGTGACCCGATGCTAAAAGAAACATCACATACTGTTACAGGATATGTTGCAATTCCAGTAACTGGCATTGATACAAACATGACTACAAGGCTTTTGTAGTAGCTTCGACACTAACATTATTTCTAAGTGTCCGTGCACTGTGCATGAAATGTGTAAATACCATTTATATCATTAATTCTTCCAAGCTGAAAACAATTGTAACTCATTGATTAGAGACTAGCAAGGTATTAAAAACTTAGTGTTAAGTAAAAGCCTTTTAGAGGAAAAATTAATACTTGATAGTTGGCAAAAATTATTGAATTGGAGCAAAGATTTAAAATTTTAATTTATGAGAATTTAGTAAGCTTTTTTTTTTGACAGCGACATGGGTCATCCTTGAATTCCCCAAGAATGCCCCCTTTATTATGTTCAGGGGCAGATTATAGAGATAGCCACGCCCCAGCCAAACCCACCAGAAACCACTCTCCTGCCATCAGGAACTCCTGAAGGTCTCGTGCTCAGAGCAGCTGTAGGCACTCAGATCAGGGGAAAACAAGAAATTCAGGATCTGGGGTCTCACTGCTCCCAACAAGTATATATAGGCAGAGAGAACAGGAAACATTATTCTTAAGCTTTTAAGATTGAATCTTTTTCTTTGAGATTTGTGTTGCTATTTTTATAAGTAGTGTGTGTATGTAAGACCACAGGATGGGGTACCTGGGTGCTACTGAACATATAGAGATCAGAGGAAAAATCAGCATACTTAGTTTTCTCCTCCCATCTTCACGTGGGTTCCAAAGATATGACTTGGGTCATCAGGATTGCTTAGCAAGCACTTTTACCCACTAAGAGACAGCCAGCTAGCATCTCTCTTGTCCAAGGAGTCATTTCTTAAATGAACTCGAAATCATTTCTTAAATTCTGAATATTTAACCATTTTATGCATCACTACTAGAAAAATAAAGTATTTAATAATGTTGATTACATCTTGCTGTCTATGTAATACACCGTGAGAAGCATCACACTAACATGAAAAGTCGCCAGGCACGTGCTGTTGCTGTCTGTTAATAGAAGAAGCAGCAGGAGAATGAGAAACTTGGCTAATGTTGCCTAGGTTTACAAGAGAGGAGACCTAGGCCAGAAATTGACTTCTCCAATTGCAGATGGACCTCATCCTCTTAAGTTGTCAGAGGCTTTTTATCTTCTATCACCAGGTCAAAACAATATTAACCCAAAGGAAATTCTGAGTGGCTACATTCTAAAGTATGGAAGCTGGTCATACCACTGAACTGTAAACATTCTGACTTTGCCAATCGAGGGATAAAGCAGCTTGGTACAAAGCATACAATGCATGGAAGTCACAACACCAAAAGTCACCACACGGTGACAAAGACTAGCTGAGGAACTGATCATTTGTAACTTATGACTACTCAGAATAAACCTAATCCATCCCAAGGAGCTCCGATTCTCCAGGGAGAAAGAGTAATTACAACGAGGGCTATTTTTAAAAGTTGTGAGCTCTCAAAACAACACACTCTAATGCTCCTGCCACCAAATGCCTCTTCCCTCACCAGAGCTGTCTCCAGATGGCATTAGCAGATTACCAGCAGGTTCGCCTAGTCAGCACTTTTACTGCCCCTAAGTCATCCAATGCCAATGATTTTGGGGCCTTTATGAATGACTTGTTAGAGGTAACCTGTTTCATCATTTGTAAACTGGAGTGTTTGAGTAGCGTAGTTTTCCTAACTCATGGGCTCGTTTTTGTCTGATTATATTGAGAGCATTAGGACTCTTGGGAAAGATAAAGCGCTACCTCTCCAAGAGGCCACTGCCATCTCCAGATGACCGGAAGAAGTTTGATCATGAGTTTGCCCTCTCCACTTCCTTTCACGGAATCCACAACATTGCCCAGAACCGGAGCAGGGTTCGCAAGGCGATCTGGCTGTCCGTGGTGCTGGGCTCTGTCTCGCTCGTGGTGTGGCAAATCTACAGTCGCTTGGTCAACTTCTTCACGTGGCCCACCACAACATCTGTAGAGGTGCAGTATGTGGAAAAAATCGAGTTCCCAGCTGTGACATTCTGTAACTTGAATAGGTGAGACTCATTGCTTTAATTGTGGTTTTTTATTTAACTTTGGCAAATTTATTTTGATAATTTACGTATGTTCTGATGCAGCATTTAGCCTAAGTAAAAGCACTAAATTTTAAATTGAACTTAAGGTACAAATATAAAAGAACCATGCTAATGTCTTCATCCAGTCATATTTTCCCTTTCCCCAGCTTTCCTTGTGCTGCAAGTACCAAGTTCTATGTTTCAGTAGATGTAATATGATTCCCTGAACTTAAGTATGCTAATGAGAGAGGGGAAACCTTATGAAATTAATTACCAAACACAATATAGAGACTACCCACCGTGTACTATGTGGAGTGTTTTAGAGATAGCTGGCACCTCCAAGAAAATGAACAAGGGTTCTAAGCATAATACATGGAAATGTTTGCATGGTAATATGATGGGATGTCTAGAACAAGTATTAGAGACACTGCATGTTATTAAGGGGTTTGTGTGTGTGACCAGCAATACTTCAAAGCTTCAATTTATTCATTCATGTGTTAGAAAACCTCCTTTAGTGTTCATGGCCTCACAATATTTAAACCACGTGCATTCTGACAAAGGCAAGGCGGGCTTGCAGGGACCCTTGACTGGAAAGAAGCAGAGACACCGGAAGGACCATGTGGGGAGATCTGCGGTCACTGTTCCCAGACAATCATCTGTAACTGGTGGGCAGAAACACTTTCAGAAATTACGCTGAAGGAGAAATGTAGCCTAAGATGTGTGATCTGTCAGGAAAGGGGTATTTTTTCACTGACTGTGCATGTTCTGTACAGTGAAGGTCTGCACAGCCTACTCAGGTCTTCTCCCTTCTCATCCTCCCCTGTCTCAGCGTGACAAAAGTTGCCTCCTGGTGGATTTGGGCAAGAAACCCAAAGCTCCCATGCCTCACCTCCCAGTCAGAATGTGTCCTGGGAGATTCAGACCGACAACATATTATCTCAACCCAGGTCCATGGGGCAGAGCCTCACCTCCCAGCCAGGGCTTCCAGTGTGTCCTGGGAGCCTCAGGCTGAGGCTCTGACAGCATGTTCTCTCCACTCAGGTTCATGTGGCAGGGGTTTAATATGAGTGTAACTTAGATGCTGGGGATGTTCAGCTCTTTGATTCCCATGTGTCTGGTAGAAGAAAGGCATCAGAGGGCATGCTTCAACACTCATGTGTCGAACTATATTATCGGTAGATATTGATAGCTAAAAATATTGCTACAGAATTCATGATATATAAGAACGGATCGAAAAATTTTAATTTTCCATGGGCCCGTGTGTGTGTAGGTTAGAGCTGAAACCACAGGCTCACCGTACCCTGGCCCTACTGGCACAATTTTTTCCCACTAACAGCCATGTTTTGAAGTAGAAAATGTGTGTCTAAAGATGCTGAAGATGAAAAGAAAGAATGCAATTTTAAGAATCATACTTTGTTTTTGAAGGACACATTCTTATCAGTTGCAGTATTTCCTAGGATCATTGCATTTCCATTTAAAGGGTAATGCAAAGTTGTCAATGACTTTGTGTCAATATCGGCCTCTTTAGTGCGTTAGTGTTCAGTACACACAATGTTACACTCAATGTAGTCTCCATATGTTTTATAGATGCCCATTGGAGTTGCCAATCTGCTTCACTTAGTCTGTAAAAATATCCATTAACTTCAATTTTTAAAAGGTTCTTTAAAGAAAGCAATGTACAGACAAGAACTAACTTCAGAAAGGTATATTTGACTCAGAGTCACAAAAAATAAGTTGTAGAATAGATTCTGGAAGATGAGCTCTTATTCATGGCCTTCTTATTTGGAACTAATCTATATATATATTAAATTATAATAGCTCTGTATCATATTCCTGCTAAATATCATCATTGCTGAATTCCCCACGGATTTCCAGGACATTTTTCTTTTGACCTTATATTCTCAGCCAGCAACAACTTAAAGAATAGTTTTTTTTTAAAAATGTGTATTAAAGGTTGAAAAAATAAACTCAGTGCAAGACATTTAGTTTTATGCTGAATATTATCTTATAAAAACTTTATTTTTATTTCTAATATTGCCAGGCTTTATCATTTAATGTTCTGAAATTACTAGTATGGTCTCATTAGTGTGACAAATACAGTTTGAGAATATTTTAAGCTGAAGAATTCCATAATTCCCTATATGTGTGCCACCCACAGACTGGTTCCTTAATCTCACTGTGTAGTCATTTTGAGAAGAATCCATGACGGGCATCGCCTCATGGCCTGCATAGGGTATCGCAGCTGCAGAGTGACTAATTCAGGGTGAAAGCTGCGCCTCTCACCAGTTGAATGGCTAGCAAAGCTGTGCACATGTGCACACAACAGCCTTATATTCACCATTAAAACTGAAAACTTCTTGCTTCTATTGGGAATAGAGTTGGGGAGAGTAATTATTCTCAACAAGGTAACCCAGGCATGCTTAACTTGCCTAAACACTACACAATATATTCACATATTATCCCTCTAATAAATATCTAAATTCTACTTTTATAGATCATTTAAAGCAAATTTAAGTTTCACAAATGACCAAGTCTAGAACATAAGATTCTAGAATGACATGCAAACCATGTCCTGCATGACGTAACCCTACCAAGAATGGCCCACCCATTGCACTCTGTGCTATAGGACAAGAGAGATGAAAGCTGATCACTTCAAGGTTTATAAAATTGAAATATGAAATCATTAACTACATTTTGAAGGCATGAAAGGCCATGCATATAAAAATCTAAAGATGTACAGTGGAAGTTACTTAACAAATATAATCATTTACGGATGTAGTTTCGCCTTGTTTCTATCTTTGAGAAAATTGTTTTTACATTCTGATGCTTTCATTCCTTCAAATAGATTCCAAGCAGAGGCTGTATCAAAATTTGGCATCATTTTCTTCTTGTGGGATGTAGTTTCCAAAGTCCTCCGCCTTCAGGAAGTTAGTGGCAACATCACTCACTCTCCAGAGACCTTAGATTTTGTTACAAGTCACCAAAACTTCAGCATTACAGAATTTGTCAAGAACAATGGTTTTTATCTCAATCGGGACACTTTGTTGGACTGTAAATTTTTTGGAAAACCATGTGGTCCAAAGGTAATGGTTGACTATCCAAAGTCTAATCAGATATAGTAGACTATGGTTTTATTCTGTTCTAAGCTCAAATAAACAGGTTGGTTTCTCAAGACTTTTAAGTACATTTCCTTAGATTTCTTGATTTCTGCTTTATAATAGCAAGAGATGTGGGATCCATGTGAGACAAATTTCTTTCAAGAAAGTTATATACGGGGTTGGAGAGATGGCTGAGGGGTAAAAACATTGCTTTGGTATACAGGCATGGTGATCGAGTTTAGAACCCGAAACCTTACACCTGGTGCTGTGTGCTTGCAGGCAGCAGAGGCAGGAAGCATGTGGGAGCTGAATGCAAATCCAGGAAAGAATGTGGAAAGTGACAGATTGGGGCACTCAAAGTTGTGCTTAGACATCACAGATGGAGAGTACATTGTATGCACACACACACATGCACACACAACCCTCACGCACACGCACACACACGGGGTGTCTAGAGAAAGTGATAGATGACAAAAGGTTTTTAAGACCTTTTTTGAAGCAGTTTTTTTACAAAGTAAAAGAACAAAACACAATAGGTTACTGTAATTTTTCCTTATCTTTCAACACCATATTTGAAGAAAGCATTTCTCTTCCCCCTTAAGCAGCTACCACAGTGTTTTTAAGATACTTGCATCTTGGGGGGGGGGGAGTACACAGAAATGAGTCTTCCAGTCTTCCACTAAGAATTATATGTAACATGTATAATATATACACAGTGAGCTTTCTATCCACGTGGAACACATCTAAAATTCTGTTTCAATTACTGATACAACTCATCTACGAGTGTGCCTGGAATCTGATCTGTTATTGCCTGCGTACATTTATGGTTCCTTATTCTATGAGAGGGACTCAAAGGGAATATCAAATTCATAGTCCCACAAAGACAGTCAGCATTCTGAGAGGCACACGGTAAAATACTACTGGGTGTGGCCGGGGGATGACAATGAGTAGCAGGGATGGCCTGAACGTTCACCTAAAGGGGCTCGTCTTCCTTGCTTTGTTTTTACTAATATATCTTTAAATTCACTCCTGAGTTTTCCCTAGTAATAACATACATTACAGAAACCCAAATCTAATAACCTGTGAAGCAAAATACATGAATTGCTTTTGTTAACTGGGTAACATAAGAACAGAAAATTCTGTCATGAGCCTTTCTTTTGTTTCCCTGTCCCACAACTTTCCCTGCATGCTTTTGGTATGTCATCTCCCCACAGAGCCAAAACTTCAGTCACCAATAACTTTCTCAGCACTTTAGCACTCAAGAACCCAGGTGAGGATCCAATGAGAGGCTCATCATCTGGACCTAGACCACTTGGGGTGTGCAGAGCATCCCAGTTTATGTAGAGTGCACATCTCTGAAAAGGATGGGACAGTTAGCACAGGAGGTCAATGGGGGAGGGAATGTGACTGCCCCACGGAGAACACAGGAAGGAGCAGTGACTTGTCAGGAGGGGCGTTGAGGCCCTTCACCAAAGTCTAAACACCTGTTCCTGTGAGTCATTGAAAAAAAACAAAAGAAGCTACTTCTAAGTTTTGTTTAAAAAAAATGCTTAGATGTAAAAATGTTTCATTTAAAAATAACATGTGAATTAAATGTTCATTACACAAGTGTAAGCTGTTAATCAAATACATGCATAAATTGCCAGACTACCAATTTTTTTTATATATAAGCATCCTCAAATAAGCATTTGCAAGTATAGAAAATGGTAGAGTGACTGGAACTCGAGGTATTGAAAAGTTTTCCACTAACTGTTCTGTTTGGTTTGTTTTTGTGTTGGAGGATTTCAAACATGTCTTTACTGAATACGGAAATTGCTTTACTTTTAACCACGGTGAGAATTTCCAAAGCAAGAATAAAGTGAGCTTGTCTGGAAGAGGCTTAAAGCTGCTCTTCAATGTCCATCAGGTATCCGCTTCGCTTCGTTCCAATCTGGGCTGAAAAGGGACAAGTGCACAGGACTCCATTTTAGTAACAATATTTTTCTCTGTCAAATAAATCCCACCAGTTGAGTTCATTTCACCCTTTGACAGTTTGCTCTAACTGGTCCTGAACTGTGGATTCCTGTTGTCTTAGAGCTGCGGAAAGCAGATGCAGTGGAGTACAGAAATGGAGAGTTCTTTTGTACCTTGTATACAGCTAATGATGTCATTAAAAACTCAATTGTAGTAGGATTTTCATCTGGACATGGAAAATGTGTTAAGAACTCTATATATACATTGGTTCATCATAGAATTGCTCCCCGAAAAGGAGAAAAGGACCCACAAATACCTTTTCCCTAAGCCTCGTTGTTCATTGGTTTGGTTTGTTTGTGGATGCTGCTTATAACTGGCCTGTGAAGTTGCGTTTGAACCTAGGAGTCAGGTGTCCCAGCATCTAAGAATTGCCTTGCTGTTACTCCAAAGGTGCTGGGAGAATAGCCCCCGTACCTGCCCTCTGCTACCATGGGTCTATAGATCAGTATTCTGTGCTTGGTAGAGTATTCAAAGAGACACAATGAATGGCAGAGAAAGATGACCTCATCTTGAATCACAACAAATTGCTGCATCTCCCATAAGCATGAATGAGGTCACAGCTGCTTTTAAAGAACTTCTGTTAATATATTCATAATTTTCTCCTGTGACTCACTCGAAATCATTTATGCCTAAACACAATGCTGCGTTCAGAAAGTATTTCACCAATATTTAAACTATTTAGATAATAGCCCTAGGGTTATTTTACACATTAATTATGCATCTTTATTAGTGGAAAATTCAAAATATTTGTATAGTACAATTAAAACCTACAAATGTAATAAATGTACAAATGTTCCATAAACAAATGGCACCTAGATATTTCTGTAAACGAACATGGCCAATGCTTTAAAAGGTTTTAGCAAGTCCAAGACAACAGACCTCAGAGTGACAGGAATTTAAAGCTTGCTCCTCAAGGATAATTATACAACAGTGGACTGATTCACTGCAGAATCTTTATATGCACACATCCAGCCTATTCCTTATGTCCTGAAACTGTAGCATCACTAGCAATTTACTTGTTAATCTTTACCTGATATAGATGTATATATTTTAAAAGTTAAAGTAATGGCATCGATTTTCACATTACTTGAAGACATTTGATTTTTAAACAAGGTTTAAAGACCCCTGCAGTGAGAAAAGAGGCAAGGAAAAGGGAACCTAGGAAATGAGAGGGTCAGAGGAAGTGAGGTCATCCGCACCTAGGAGATGAGATGGACAGGAAGTGAGGTCCTCAGATGACACTACTGTGCTTGTGGATTTACTCAGGAGCAACTGACAAATGGGGTGTACTCTTGAGCGCGCACACTCAGGAGCAACTCTCTGACACCGCCTGGAAAGGGTGTCTTAGCTACCAAATTTCCACACCTCTCACTCATAGTATGAAGCCTAAGATGATAGAGCTGACCTTAGTAATTCAAATACACCATGAGCTGATGAACCCAGACCTTGAACTCCTGTATAACTAGTGTGTGTGCACACGTGTGTTCCCTTCAGGAGGAATTTACTGATAACCCCTTGCCTGGTTATGCTGATGCTGGGATCATCTTTGTCATTCACTCGCCAAAGAAGGAGCCGCAGTTTGATGGCTTAGGTCTGTCTTGTCCTGTGGGCATGCACTCACGGGTGACCATCCGCCAACTGAAGGTAAAATGTGGAAGATGTGGAGAGAGAGGGGGATTAGCTGGTAATGGCTGCATTAAACACGCAGATGACGTTTTCATGAGAGGCCCCTTTCTCCCGTGCTTTTAAACTAATGGTTGGAAGGGCCAACACTGTATTTCAGATTCCTTTCCTTTCTCTGGAGGCTCCTCTGTAGTAAAAGGCAGTAGATTCCTACCTCCAACCTAAGTGAGCATGGGGAAGCCTATTATATCCAAGGTCACTTCAGATAGCAATCAGAACAGGACCACAACGTCAGCTTCAGAATTAAATGTTTCCTCTGTGAAGCCATCTGCAAAGAATAAAAAAAAAATGAAGGCATCAGCCATGGAGACATAACATGTGGCGGGTTCCACGTGACAGCGAAAGGGTGTCAGCCATGGAGACATGTCATGTGGGGTTCCACGTGACAGTGAAAATCATCAGCCATGGAGAACACGTCATGTGGTGGGTTCCACGTGCCAAGCTTTACTCGCGAGCTTAACATTTTAAATTTGCATCCACTCCCTGTCCTCTTGGCTAACCAACAGCTTTGCGTTTCTAGAGACGAGATGTTTAAAAATGAGGAAAACAAAGAAAGCAAAGTACTCGTTACATGTTAAATAGCAGTTGCTCAATAAGGAATTTTTGTCAGATTGGTTGATGGTTTGTGAGTGCCCGAGTAATATGGCAGCATAACATTTGCACAAATATTTTTCCTTATTTGAATGAATTTTTACAATGGTTGGCCTATGCGATGTTTTCATTGACATTTAGGGTGAATGTTTAAAGCCCAAGGTTAGAATAGAGGGGCTTTCAAGATAATAATGTGGACAAGTGGGTAAACATAGTGTATCGAAAAGAAAATTTAAAAACACTAAGAATAAGCCAAAGTGTAGAGCGTCCTTTAATGGAAAACGGGGACCAACTGAATTTCCGTCTCCTAACCTGGCATCTGTCCTGTCTTCAGACAGTCCACCAGGAGTACCCGTGGGGGGAGTGCAAGCCTGACATCAAGCTGAAGAGCTTCACCACCTACAACACCTACAGCTGTCTGAAGGAGTGCAAAGCCCAGCACATACAGAGGCTGTGCGGATGCTTGCCCTTCCTGCTCCCAGGTAGATAGACTGGCAGCTCTTCCCACATGGCTGAACTCGCAGCTTACGATTTAGTGCATCGTTGAATTGTTCTCTGTGCTCCCGGAAGGCTAGACTGGAAAATGGCCCACTCGCCACTTTTACCTCAGTCCATTTGGAAGCATGGAAGAGGTAGCAGAGGTTTCTGGGGAGGAAAATGATGCTGTCGGCCTAGGTCCTCAATTCTTACTTAGAAGGTTAAAGTCAGATGTTCTCAAATAGATTAAAATGAATGGATGTCAAGGGTCTTGTAATTTGAAATTTGAAACTAGGTTACGTATACTTATAGCAGGCCCTAAAGATCTCACTGTTGGGGAGCCCTTAGCCTTGTGGCTGTGGGGGGGGGGAGAAAACTTCCAAGACTTCTTTGTGCACAGTCTCAGGCGTTTTTCAGGACCAGGGAATCCCTCAGGCAATCACTGAGCAGAGGTTAAACCTTAGGTCTGATTTAATACTTTCTCATCTACCTGATGCCACATCTTTCTGTAATTCCTATAACATGGGAAAAATTGGGTCCTGCTGAGCCAGGATCCTGAGGATAAAATAATAGAAAACATAGATAAAATTTATAAAAATGAACAATTTGATTTATATTCTATTGCCTTTCCTTAGCATTGTCCATAGAGAAGATGAGTTATTTAGAGAAGTAGCCATGGGGAGAATAAAACTGTAGCCTCTCTAGAGCGCTCATAGTGTCTCTGTCTCTGGGTGGACACATGCTTCCCCCACCCCGTCTATCTACTTCCTACTTCATCTCTCTTATCTAAATATTACAACAAACAGAAAGGAAAGATGAGAAAAGTGTGCCCTAGCACACTATTCCTACTTCTTTTTCCCTCTCTCCCCCTCTCTCCAGGGTTCCCTTTCTCTCCCTTCGCTCTTTCCTTTCCTTCCTTACCCCCCTCCTCGTCTTTTAAACTTCCTAAATTTGGAGCGCAGTCTTCAGCCTCACAGGCATTGTGAACACTGTCCAGTCTCTTCAAGATTGTGAAGATTATTGAGTAAACATTGTGGCTAACCTCAGACCACTTGTGTTATACCAACAAAGAAATACCTGGTTACATAAAAAGGCCATGGTTTTAAAATTGGCTTAGGGAGTAAACCTCAGGTAGACCATAAATTGATTTTTCTTTGTCTCAAGATTTACAGCAGATACATAACAAATACTAGCACCTACATGGCCTAATCCAACCCCCTCACCCTACAGCAGTTCTCTATCTTCCTAGTGCTGTGACCCTTTAGTGTAGTTCATGTTGTGACCCCAATCATAACGTTATTTTCATTACTACTTCATAACTGTAATTTTGCAACTATTATGAATTGTAGTATGTTTTTGGAGATAGAGATTTGACATTTGACAAAATTACAACTCGTAGATAACTGCTACCCTAAAGGGGGTTAATCAATGTAAAGATATATATTATAATATTAATAATAAACAATCTAATATTCAGAGGTAGCAGGATACAAGATAGGGTACCCCAAGGCTTCTCTAACATCATGGTCTAGTACAAGTCACCTGGAGCTTAGTTCATCTGGAAAATAATTTTAAATAAGATTATGAACATGATAAAATGAGATAAAATTGTGGAAGCAATTGTAAAATTAAGATTTACAAACATTTAAAAAATAAAGACTTGAGGGGACAAATGAAAAGGACCCAAAAATAGTGGTCTTCTCAACAGTTCCTTTCTCTAGATTCTGACATGTTTGCATGTTTATATTCTGAAGAATAAATGTCCATATGAAGGATGGATAAAGATGATACAGAAAAAGAATGTGCTTCTAATTTGTGTTGCTGATTTTATCAAAAACCTCTGGGGCCCATATGTAGCTCAGTACTGGAGGTGGCTGTCTCGGAGCTGGAGGAACTTAGAATGTTTGAGGTTCTGAATTCAATTAAATATATCCTCAAATGCAAAGACTCCAGTGAACTCAATTAACAATGTTCAGAATTGATCCCCCAAATCATCTATCCAGATAGGTGCACATTTCAAAGCTTTATTGTTTTTTCTAATGGGAGAATTTTATTTCAAGAAAACCCTTTATATGTTACAATTACTGTTTTTAAGGAAATGGTATCGAATGTGATCTACTAAAACACTACAACTGTGTATCTCCTATCATTGGTAAGTGGTTTGTTTTACTTTCTGTTGGCAAACATTTTTTCCTACCATTCAGTATCCAAATAACCAACATGGAGACTTAATATTAATTACAAATGCTCAGTCAATAGTTCAGGCTTATTACTAGCTAACTCTTATATTTAATTTAATACATATTTCTTATCTATGCTTTGCCCTGTGGCTTGGTACCTTTTCTCAGTACAGCATCTTCATCTTCTGCTCACTATGCCAGACTCCTTCCTTTCCCTTCCCAACGGTTACCTGTTTGGCTCTCCTGCCTTAACCTTATTCTGTTCAGCTATTGGCCAGTCAGCTTCCTTATTAAACTAACCACAGTGACAAGTATTCATACAGTGTATAGGAATATTCACAACTTTCAAGGATTATATTAAAATTGTTTAGTTACAAGATAAATAACTCTGGATATCCTGGAGATGAAAAAGAAAAGCTATATAAAATTTTTTTAAAAAAAATCCATAGCACTCACTATATAAACACAGTAAAAGAAAATTCCCTCTGACTACAGGAAATCTGTTAAAGGCACAGGATGACAGCGTGCCAGCAGGCGCTCAGGGGTTTCTTTCCAAGTCTTTTTAAATAGTCTTCATTTTATTTGAGTACCGAAACCTTTTCACAGTTTGATCAAATGTTCATATAAAATTCAGGTGAATCTTGTTACTTTGAAAATCATTTATATTTTTAAGAACATTCATTTAATAACACATGTGTCACATAACATTTTTGTGTAAACAAAATCACAACTACACACGTCTTTCGCATTGATAACCTAAACAAATTTATTTTGCCTAAACTTTGCATAGACCCCCAAATTATTATATTCTATGCTTTTGTACAATTTGTTCCATATATATAACTTTATGTTTTTAAATCATCGATTGCCCTCTTCAAATGTAATATTATATTTCCTTTGAATTTTGGAATATAGCAACTTACCTAAACAACCCAGGGGACAAAGGATTTATTTTAACTCATGGTTCCGGGTTCCATGCAGTCTGTGACTGTGGGGAGATCTAGGCGGAAGGAACTAAAGATCTGATCTTACTACAACCACAGTGAGGAGCAGCGAAGAGTGAACTGAAAACACACACTTGTTCTTAGTTTAGTTTCTCATGTGGTTCAAGATCCCTTAAATGGTTCCACCCAGAGTGGGTGGGACTTCCCACCTCAATTAATATAAACAATAAATTATGTACCAAATTGTAATTCCCTTCTCAGGTGTTTCTAGACTTTGTCAAGTAGACCAAACGAACCATTTCACTCTTCTATTAAAGTCTTTTTCTTACTCATTATAGAAATAGCTTTAAGATGGCCACAGCAGAAGAAACATTTTTCATTTAAATGGTGATCAAATATTTCAAGGTCTGGATGTAAAGTAGATTTATATTCTTTAGTTTCCAAACCAATTACACAAATGCCACAATATGCCACATTGAAAACAAAGAATAAGAACTACATTGTCAAGTTTGTTTTCCAATCACTGAAAGCAAGAGGAAGAGCCTGGGGGAAACAAATGCATACAGTCGTTGTTTGGAGATGGCTGTGGGATAACAGGATCCCAAAGCTGTTCATACAATTGTGTGAATACAGTGTACACGAGCATATGAGTGTGGCAGAATACGTGCATGTGGGTATGAGTATATGTGTAGGGTGTTACTGTATATGCATGTGTCAAAGCACATGCATTCATGTGTCTGTATGAGGACAGCACATGTGAGTCCGTGGGTATGCTAGATTGTGTGTGGGAGGGTGTAGGAATGTGTAGTAGTGTGCAGGTGCAGGTGAAAATTTTTGTGGCGACCTGGTCGACAGAGAACCTCAGTGGCCATCTGAGAATCTACCAAAGAACCTTAAGTCAACAGTGTTTCACAGCAATTTACAACAAGTCTAAAGTTAAGAGTAGTTTAAGCCATGGACCTTCAGAATTATGTCTGTGGGTTCCTTTCAAAAAGGGGGCATGGCACAGACCACTCTCCATCCTGTTCCATCCAAACAGTTGATCTTTTATAGAAATAATCTAGGAACGTCCTGGAATTTCTCATTCCTAACGAAGAGATCTTTCTTCCAAACCAATTACACAAATGGAACCCCAGTGAACTCAGTGGATGGAGGATTCACATTCTGTCCTGTTGGTTACTTAACAATAAAATACAAACCTGTTTGACTGAGGTTGTGAGCATAGTTAACGATTTCTTTTTGACGTGATGTGCCTGAGAAGGTGCAGGCTTCCCATTGTGGAGTCTTGTCTGAGTACGCTACTCTCCGCTCTCGTATTGCTTTCAGACCACATTGAGCTAGGGGGGCTGTGCACGATGGGAACACACAACTCCAGCTGCCCTGTGTCATGTGAAGAAATAGAATACCCAGCTACTGTTTCCTATTCTACTTTCCCAAGCCAGAGAGCATTAAAGTTTCTGGCGAAGAAATTGAATCAAAGCCAAGAATATCTCAGGTAATCTGGTTAATCTTACAAATTAATCATAATTAACATGAAATTCTCTTTAATGAACACTTGAAGTTTCAGGAAATGACACAGTGGTCAGTCGAGGAAGGCAGTTTTGGAGGTCATTGAGCTAACAGTGACAATAGGACTTTAGAGTGAGAGTCATTACAACATCTCTTAGCCCCTTAGTTCAGCTTGGGAAGTTAAACTGTATTATCAGTGTGCATGAAAATTAAGAGCAAAATGGAGAACAGGAAGTCAGGAACGTTAGTGAAATTTCTGAATTCCCATGACAACACTGTACCTTCCATTTTGATAGCTGTTTTATCACTTGTAAATATAACTTCATCTGATGAGCTATTTAAATATTGTACATTTTCCTGTTACCTAACATTAGACTAAAGGAAATTAACACATTAATGGTGCATTTTGAACTAAGTATATTAGAGTATTGTTTACTGTTTGTGGAGTCAATAAGGAAATTAGTTTAGACCTATGTTCCTTAGATATGTTGGAGAATGCCATGTTGTTTCAGGAAGCATTGCTAATAGAGCCCTTTCTTAAAATTGTTTTTGCTGTCTAAAAATCACATGGTAATTGATTTCAACTTCATTTTACAGCAGAGACAAGTTAATATTTAGCCACCTGTTGGTGTTAAGTCCATCTTTACGCTGTTGCAATTTTAACAAATATATAAAAAGCATGTGTTGGGTGTTCAGAGTTTGGTAGGCATGGGAATTCCTTAATGAAGTTTACAAGCCACGCCTTATTGGACATATTTCTATTGTGGTGGAAATGGATCATAAGTATGTAAGTTAAATAAAATGATGCTAGAGGCTGTAACAGAAAAGATAGAGGGAAAGTCATGCAGAGAAGTAGGAGAAGAAAAGACTTGCCTTCAGATTTGCGGAAAGACTTTGGGCAGAAGTGAACCAAACTCTACAGCCATTGGTCTCGAAAGTCCGTGCAGATGTTTCTCAGAGTTCCCTGTGAGTATCAGGGAGAGCAGCCAGAGTGTCCTGATTCAGCAGGTCAAAGAATAATTATTGTATGGAGAGCAGAGGGTATTTGCTGAGGAGCAGTAACTCAGTTTGTATGCATTAAGCACAATCTCCATTCAGATACCGCTAACAAACTCTTGAGTATGATGGCCTGGGTGGCAATGGGAAGAGTAGTTAGTGTGTGTGGCAATGGGACTCTTATGTAGATGCTGACGGTTCCACAAGCAAGGTTTCCTGTTAGACCACATGGGTGTGCTAAATGAAAAATAGCAAGGGTTTGCCTTGAAATGTGTTGGAGTATGCTAAATTATTAGACAAGCAAGTGGAATTACAAAAAAAATCAAATACATGATTGGAATTCAAAGCAGAGGTCTTGGTAGAAAGAAGAGTTGGGACCCTTGACTGTGTCAATATAGGTTTTAATGTCATATTGAACCACTCTGGACATGCATGAAGGTTTACAGAGGGCAATAATAAAATAAAATATTTGCTCAAGTATGTCAACAATAAATGGGAAATTGCACTTATCAGCAGGGCAGCTTTTACTTTGGTCCATGTTTCTCACCAAAACCTGTGAGCTCAGCTCTACTATACTAATAGAACGAGGAAAAGATGCTACTTAAGAATAATTCAGGCAACTTGGAAAAGTCACAATTTGAATTATTTATAAATGTAATGGGCCACAATTAGATGATCCACATGCACTGTCTTCAGAATGAAGTACAGAAACATTGTATGGGGGGGCTTTTTTCTTTTTCCCCCAAATGTCCCCATGGCAAGAGTACTTTCCAGATAATGCTAAAGGAATTAACACTGAGCTCATACATGCTGGATCTAATGCAATGGTAAATAGCTTTTGAATGTATGACGAGGATTAAAAGTAGTGGTGACAGCTGTAAGCTATGTTCATTCTGTTTCCACCCCCAGCGAGAATCTTGTGAACATTGAAATAAACTATAGTGACTTAAACTATAAGATAACACAGCAACAGAAGGCAGTGAGCGTCCCTGAGTTACTCGGTAAGTCTGTTGACTTCTTCCTCAGCTGTTTCCTGTTTAGGGGTTGGTTAGGCTATCAGTGGAGGAAAAAGGATAAATTGTCCTGTCTCTTACGAGGGACTAGGGACCAGGGACCAAGTGTTTATTCTCCCTAGGAACCACCAGTGACTACATCACACAGGATTTTGCCAAAGCATCCACTGATGTGTATTCTAGAGTTTCACGTAGTTATCTTCCCTTCAGGCTGCTCCCATCACCACGTGACTACTGTAGAGTTTCAGGAGGTTCAAATCATCGGTCTTTCACAAAGGGCTTCATCCCCCAGGGAGGGGGGAAGAAAGTTCCCAAGCAAGCAATCTTATTCATTTCCTTTATGGCCGCTGTCAGCGTATGCTATTATAACTTGGAGTCTTTAACCAACTGCTGATTTCCTAGCTCCAGTCACACACAAGAGGAAGCCACCCAGGAGTCGGGGAGAACATTCAGTTCAGGCATCAGCTTAGATGGAGCCAATGAGAGCGAGTTCACAAGGAATTATCTTAATTCTTTAAGAGTCCTGCAGAAAACACAGAGCACTTAACATCAGTTTCCTGAAGACGAGTGCAGGTGGACTATGAACAAACGTGTAATCTTCCTTAGAAGGCAGTACTAGAGCAAGGATGGGGAGAAACAAAGGGGTGGTTGCTGGGCTCTATGGGTGGAAGCAATTAGGGCATTAGGTTTCATAGGAGTTCTGGAGAATTGAGGGAAGGTTTTAGAGGTGCCAATGATGAAGGAAAAAAGAGTGCACACTGTCTTAGAACTGCACCTTATAAACTGTTCAAACATAAATGTATATGCCAATGTAAATTAAGACCATTTTTAAAAATGCAGTGTTTTAAATATATTTTGGTTAAATGGACCAAGATGAATGCTTAATACAAAATATAATTAGGGCCCTAGCAGGGTAATTTGCATGCAAATTGTCTTGAAAAACAGCACGGATCCTGTAAGACCATATGGTACCAAGATCCAGGTCTGCTTTGCATTTCATGAGTGCACGTTACATTGTAGTTAGTTTTACCTGGCATTCAGATCTTCGAGTCTAAATTCAATCCATGGAAACATAGTTTCATACCTTCTGTTGGAGATGATTTGTTTGAATACTGCTGCCAGGTATTACTAGTTTGTATTACCTTAAATTTCAAAATATGATTAATGTATATTCACATGTCAGCCATGATCAACTTATTGGATTCAAATAATGTATACTATAACAATGTTTACTTTTGTTTCATGAAAAATATGTAATTTATGGATTTTTATTGCAGCCGATGTTGGCGGTCAGCTGGGACTATTTTGTGGAGCGAGTCTGATTACCATTATAGAAATTATTGAATATGTATTGACCAATTTCTACTGGATATTCATTTTCCTTTTGCTGAAAATACTTGAAATGATCCAGAGGTCTCCTCCACCTCAGGCAGTATAGAAAAATGTTAATATTATGTTAGAACAAAGTATTGTTTTTTTTCTTCATTAATACATATAATTATAATGGCTCATTCATTGTTACGGACTTTATGTCATACTTTGGAAAGTCTAATAAAATCACTGAAGATTCCTATTTCTGTATTGTTTAATATAGTCTGTTTGCCTAATTATTTTTCTATTGTAAACTGGGCACAGAAAATAGTAACAATTACATAATAGGCATCCTTTACCTTTATATAATAATTAATGGAAAAATATTTTATAACTAAATATGGTAATCACATCTATTGAACTGTATATGGTTGTGAGGATTATTTTAAATGTCAACCTGCCACAACCTAGAATCACCCTTAGTCTTTGAAGAATTCTGTAGTCTGGGTTGGCCCGTGGACAGATCTGCTGTTAACTGACCCAGCTCAGTATAGGCAGCATCATTCCCTAGGCTGGGCCTGAACTTTTAAAAGACTGAAGGAAGCTACAAGCAGTCAAGAGAGAACCCATGCAGCTACCTGCTCTCTGCTCTTGACTATGGATGTCAGGTTTTAAGTTCCTGCCTTGACTCCCACTCGGGGATGGGCTGTGATCTGGACTCGTAAGTCAAAGAAAACCCTTTCTTCCTTGGTTGCTTTTTGTTGAGGGTATTTTTTATCATAACATCAAAATCAAAGCTAGAACCATGGATCATTAAGACAATTGTTCATTTAGGAACCAAGTGTACATAATTTATGCTTTCTAAACTTGGAATTATTTTCATTAAATCGGAGCATTTTTGATCTTCTGCATGGTTTTATAACTGATTAGGGGGTGCAGGAATCTGCATTCCCTGTACAGATGGATTCATAAAATCAATGTAATTGAAACTGGAGCCGAATCTGTGGTAGAGAGGGCTGCACATTCCCTTCTAGCAACTCTTATGCGCTTATTTAAGCTAGAGAAGAATCCAACAGTTCCATTTATGTTTTAGGCAATCAACCACTTTCAGCCTCTTGGAATGCTCATTCAATAGAGAATTGCTCAAAAGCCTTCTTTAACACACAAAACGATAATCAAAGAACTCTCACTCCCGGGCTGAGGGTGCAATTAGTTTGTGCTTAGCTTGTGTGAGGACCTAGTTTTCAGTCGGCTGCAAAAACAATATCAATCTAATTCCTAGTTCTTTCTGTTTGGTTCCATTTTTTTCTTCCCGGCTGCATGGCATCGCCACTCTTGTTGGCTCAGGTAGTTGAGAGAAATGGCCTGACAACCATCACATACTGACGTGAAGGACATTGTTGAGAATGAGTATTGATTATCAACTGTTTACACTGGTTCCCAGAATCCAGATAATTCCTGTCATTTAAATATATAAGTGCTATCTGTTTTGGAATTGGTGGTGAGAAAAGAAAATACCTGTGCTGTGAAAAAAGTTTTAAATCTTACCTTGAGGAAAGTGGGATACCCTCCAAGAGCATTGTGAAATCTGTGGAAGGATCAATCTTGGGGAATGATTGCAGCAATGAGCCCACCCCCAAATGTTACACTCTTGACTCAAACAGAAGTTGATGTAATAACAAAATCAAACACCTTATGCAACCTCTTATCAAAAAGGGGACAGGTCACATGACATCCTCAGTCTATGATCTGTTTGGTAGAAGTCACGTGCATATAAATAATGAGCAAAAAAAAATCTGAGTTAACCCAAGGAGAGGAACCTGTATTGAGCAATACACAATAATTAAGGAATATTAGGTGAAAAAACACTAAAGCAAAACATGATACTCTGGGAATGTCTGAAAAGCAACAGGAGAGAGGAAACTGATAAGTTCACGGCGGAGACAGTGACTTTTTCAGGGTGTAAAGACACTTGCCATCTTTAGATCCAGTAGAGTGTGGGACATGCCCTGCCTTAGCCAATGGGATGAGTTTCGTAACAACACGAGAGTGGAGCAGGAGGACGGAGACAGAAACAAATGCTGAATGGTCCTCTTCTCAGGAGCTGGCAGGAAAAGGATGATTGAGTGGCTCAATGATCAAAGTCTCGGTACTAAAGCCTATAATCGTTAGTGCTAAAATCCACTGAGCTGGCAATCCTACACAAACCAGTTCGCTTAGCCTTGGAGAAAAGGCAAGGGCACTCCTGAAAATCAGGAGCAGCAGCAGTTGGAAGGTGCCGTTCTGGGACAGTTGGGTACCAGAGCTAAATAGCAAAGTGAAGTCTGCAGTTTAAGGAGCAGGAGACGCCTGTGAGAGCAGCCATTCCACCCCAGCCTGCCAGGATACACTAGCTGTGTGAACACCGGACTTTACCCGACTGTCTTTAGAGTCTCGATCTCTCCTTCTTATCCTCCTAACCTGTGACTTCACCTCTGGAAGGATAACCAATTCTTAGGACTCTGCACTGCTCCTCAATATCATGGGATACAGTGACAGAATGCAGTTTCTTAAATAACACTATTGTGCCGCTTCTCCTTAGGCATAATTCATTAACTCTTGTCTCATCTCTTATCAGATAATCACATCATATATTAAGTAGCACTTTTAGATACTTTTAAACGCATTTATGCGTTTGGCAGGGCAGGATATACTTTAATATTTCATCAGGTTTTTTTTTTCAGAATAATTTCCTTTTCATAAAAATGCTTATATTTCCCTGGCTTTTGAAGGTCTGCATTCTCTGACAAATAACATCTACTGGCTTTAACCACAATTTAAGTCTTCATCAAATTGTAAGACTTTTGAGCAATAGGAAACATTTACTTACAACATCATAATCAGTAAATCCAACTAGACAACTAGATGCATTTATGCAAAAATTAATATAGAAAAGTATGTTCATGCAATCTTCACTTTCTCTTTTGAGTTAAATGTTTCAAAAACTGGAAACTTCAAATCAAAATGAAATGCAATGAAAGGTCATATATTCACTACTTAGGTTTAACCTAACCAGCATCATCGGGATTACTCCCTTCAGAGTTTGCATTCATGGAGTCCTCTATGCATATTCTTAACACAATGTTTCTGCCCTTAGATTAGAGCCACTTTTGCTGTGGGAAACAACACAGAAATTCGTATCTCTGGTCAGAGTCCTGTAAATTACTGACCATTGACAGCTCAGCACTAAGGAGAGACATCTATTTCAACCCTCTCACTCTGCCAGGACATTGTGTGAGACATTGGGTCAGACTAAGATCCAGCGGACAGGAAGGGATTCCACAGGATGTTGTCTTCTGCACACGACATGGTCATGGCACTTAGGAACTCACTGGAGCTATGATTGCTTGCACAAGCTCTATACAAGGCCAGGTCAACAAGATCCGTCAACACCCCAGTAGGTAGCTCTAACTGGACTCAGTGGGCTACAAAAAAAAAAAATATAGAAGTAGATGGAAATTGAAAGGGGACATGGTTGGGGTGGTTTGGGAGACAAAGAGGAAAAATAGGAGTAGATATGATTAAGATATGCTGTGTGCACGTATAAAATTGTCAATGGATAAATGAAACATACTTTAAAAAATGAACAGAAAGCTGTTTGATAATGTGACGATATATGATAACATGAATGTTACCTAGGTTTCTATGAAGCACAAATGGCGTCTTTCATAAGGATGGCCTGAGATGCAATGCTCGTGGTCTATCAGGGACAGCAGGGGAGGAGTCTGGGGAAGTCTGGTGAATCCTGGCCCCATAGAGAGCAAAGGACCAGGCTGTAAATGACAACCGTTCCCAGCATTCCAGGTGGAAGATAAGTAAGCATCTTCTTCCTCTGAAGAGATAAGCCTGCCTGTTTAACTTGCCTGGTTTCCCTCATGTGTATCTGTGTGCACAGGGACCTCGAACCCTCTACACTCATGCTTTTTAGGTTAAATTATTACTTACAGTGCTGAGCTATGTTTAAGGAAAGAAATTTCAAAAAGGAATGGTATGACTTAAAATGTCGCTACTGTTTTGAACAGAAACATTAAAAGGGCATTAAATGTCAAGATGTGCGATGATCTGGAGCCAAGGGGTTTTGGATGTTAAATGCTGATGAATCAGAGGAAATATCAGTAAATTCAGACAAGAGCACACTTAGCATGGTAGAGACACTTGCTTCCCGAAGCCTGAAAGGTTCTTGTAATTTTGGAATATTTGAGTATAAGTCAATTAAAAAATGTGTTCATCTGGCATAGGTATGCAGATCTTCTGGTCTTCATTGCAGATTTCTCCTTCCGGCCATACTTAAGACTATCCCTGCCAAGTGTGGAAGGATAGGTTGAGTTGACAGTTGGGTCATCCCTATCAGGAATACAAAAAAATCATGTGGGTAGGGACTCACTGAAGAACTAGATCTTTACAAAGAGACTTAACATTGTCATTGGATAGTAGGTGCCACTTAGTGTCTCATAATTACTGTTCACTAAAAACAGCAAAGAGACGTCAAGTGGGAATGATGTAAGATCTCTTTTGTCATCTCAAAATATTGCGTTGCTAATGTTAGCAGCTTTTAGAGAAAGGACCAGTTTATGGTTTTATATTTTTTCTAAAATTCTTTCCCGTAAAACCCTTTTTTTATTTACTATTTCTTTCTCTTCTTGACACCACATTATGTTGTAGCACATAGAATGTTAAAATGCAAAATATTTTATTCAGTTTATTCAGTTCAGAGCTGCATACTGCAAATCAAAATAAAGTATAAATATATATTTATCATTTTCCTTTATCTAGCAACTACTTTCTCTTTCAAACATTATTATGGTTTGCACGTGAGGTTTCCCCTAAATTCTCATATACTGATTCTTTTTGATGGTCAACATGGCCCAAACTTGAGGCATCTGGGAAGAAGTGCGTGGGTCAGATTAGCTTATGGACACACCTGTGAGATTGTCTTGATTGACGTGCAAGGGCCCAGCTCACTGTGGGCAGCACCATCCCTAGACAGGGAAGCTCAGGCTGCCTAAGAAAGCTGGTCTTCTGGACATAGCAAGGTAGTTGATCTGGGAGAAGCTATGGGGAGTGATCGTGATCAAGATGTATATTATACGAAATTCTCAATGATCTAATGAGAGCATTATTTAAAAAGAAAAACAGGCTAAACAAGCCAGAGGGGAGTAAGGCAGTACCTCTGGTTTCTACTGCAGGCGCAGCTCTGAATGCCTGCCTTGACTTCCTTTTGTGATATTACCTGAAACTGCAAGCCAGCAGAACCCTTTCTCCTCTCAGTTTGCTGTTGGTCATGGTGTTTATGAATGCAACAAGAAAGCAAACTAGACCAGCTCATGTGTCTTCGCCCCAGGCACTGATTTCAGCAGTGAGAAGTGATTGAGCCAAAAGAATGGAAAAGAAAAAGCTATGACCGAATTACTGGATTAATCCAACGTTTGGTCAGTTTGGTGTCGTTATTGGTGGGTGGCTGGTAGAAAATTCTAGAGATAGGACCTATTTGGAGCAAGAAGGTAACTGGGATGTGTTTGTTCTAGGGTTATGTCTTAAGCCCCTTCTTTTCTCTCTGGTTGCTACAAGGTGAGCAACTTTGCTTTGAGAAGCTATCATCCATGATGTCTTTGTTGCTATTTGCTGCTTCGACTGGATCCTCTGTGACGATCTGCTGTTTTATACCTGACACAGTGGATGCATTGATAGCAAGGAGAAAACAAGCCGGTCAAACATGTCAAATCACTTCAGGTCTTATAGAAGATCTGGGCAAACGCCTGTGCTCTTATCTGGTACAGACTGAAAGCTTTGTGTGACCTTTAAGCCCTGGAATGTGGCTGACTTTAGATGTGCTGAGAATTTCAGACTTAGGAAGGAACAAAGCAAGTAGAAGAGCCAACAAATTTTTTCCAGTGGGGGTTTATAGAAGCTGTTTTATTAATTTAGCTCATGTGAACTCCCTGCTGCTCTGTTCCTAATTTTGTTTCATGAAATATGTTTAAAGAGCTGTAAATCTTTTATTACTATGTAAGCAGGGTCCTCATTTAATCATGATTGGTTTTCTTTTCCTTACCATGGTTACAAAACAATGTAGAAAACAATTAAAACAGTATGTCACTATTCTCTAGAATCTCAATCTTTTCTAGATTACAAATTGATGGTGAAAGCAAGAGAAAAAGTAGAATTTTTCTTCATATGATAGTGCTTTAGATAAATAAATGCATTCCTTTATAAACAATGAAATACTAATATCATGCTATAGGAACGTAAAGCCTTTCTGACACTGTTGGTTTTATTTACAAAGACCGTTGTTTTCTCAGTCAGGGTTCCTGTTGCTGTGATGAAACACCATGACCACAGAAACTTGGGGAGGAAAAGGGTTTGTTTGGCTTATGCATCCACATCACTGTTCATCATTGAAGGAAGTCAGGCAGGAACTCAGTGTAGGTACCCGGAGGCAGGAACCAATGCAGAGGCCATGGAGGAGTGCTGCTTACTGACCTGTTCCTCATGGCTTGCTTAAACAGCTTTCTTACAGAACCCAAGACTGCTAGTCCAAGGGTGACGTCACCCACAATAGGCCCAGCCTCCCCAATCAATCACTAATTAAGAAAATGCCCTACAGACTTGCCTACAGCCTGATCTTAGAATCAATTTTCTCAGCTAAGTATCTCTCCTCTTCCCGTTTGTGTAAAATAGACATGAAACTAGCCGGTACAGCAGACCCCTTGTCAAGTTGGCATACAAACACAAATACTTTTCAGTTAGAACCTTTCCTGCTTCATTTATCCCCGAGATGGGATGTGGGAACTAGAAGAAGGGAATTGTGGGAAATATAATCAAGATACACTGTATACAAGTATGAAAATTTTAAATAACAAAAAAGAGGCCAGTTAAACCCCTTGTCAGATTCTGAACTCAAATTTTATAAGTTTCCTCTGATTTGCATTTTTTTTTCTGACCTTGTTCTCACCTTGGCTCAGGATTTAGGACACAGACTCATCATGGCCACCTGTGTATGCCCCAGCATTGGCCAGGGAACAGAGGACCCAGCAGCAGGCTTGGCACATACTGAGGTGGAAGTGAAAGAGCTCTCGGGTCTATGATTTGTACTCATGCATGGCACGTGACATCATCACCAACTCAGCTGGGGTGCTGCAGTCATGCACGTCTGGAGTCGCCATCTTTATGGAGCTGGGTGGTTCTGCTGAAGCTTTTTTACGTGGGGTAGAAAACCACAGGGGGAAACTAATGAGTTTTGAGGGATATGTTCCTTAAATTAATGTTTTGATTTCATATGACTCTTCCCTTCGAAGACCTAAAGCTACCTTGTGGGCAGTTGTGATCCTCCCTGCATGAATGAGCAAGGGGGTCTAGAAAGATGGTACAGTGGATAATTGCTCACCTTAAAAGAGTCAACAGAAGTTTGAATCCTCAGAACCCACAAAAAAAAAAACAGATGTGGTGCTGAACATCTGTAATCTCAAGGCTTCCAAAGACAGGTGGAAGGGCAGATGGAAAAAAAAAATCTCAGTATTCAAAAGCTTACCAAGGAGGCATCAAGCTTGCCTTGGATTTATTTCTTCGAAGTTAAATTTTGTTATCTCTCGATCAGGACAGTTAAAGTTCTCTTGCCATTGAAATTTTAGATCTTATTCCTATCAGGTCCAGACCAAGTTCACAGCCTGAGCCCACAAGCCTTTTACAAAGAACTGCTACAACTGTAGAGTAGGCCTTACTCTGCTGATCAGCTCATTCTACAGATTAGAAACCTGGGTCCCAATAAACCGAGCTGTGAAGGGCATAGGGGAGAGGGCCTCGCTATAACAGGGCTCGGGGTCTGTCTTCTCTACGGATGTTTCATTCTATTTTCTTCATATTCACTGCATTCCTGTTTACTATGATAGAAATTCAAATTTAGTGTAAATTAAGGCTTTAAATAAGCAGTAATTTCTTACTGACATTTGACAGATTTTGATAGGAGGTAGATGAACTCTGCTTTTACAGTAACACCGTGTTACCGTTTCCATCACAGATTGCTTGTTCTAAAAAAAAGTTATTTAACTCCCTACAGGACGGGCAGGGAATGCTTGGTCAGCATTTCTGAAAAAGATATCTTAAAAGTAGATTTGTTATCTCCTGATGAGTAAAACTGGCTGTTTTGTGGTGTTCTTTTGGATTTGTGGGAGGATGGGAATGAATTCAAGATTGCACAAGGAAGTGACTGAGTTAGTAGCTACAGAAAGTGGTGAACTCTATCCTTGGAGAGCAATTGTCTCCTTCCCTCATGCTCCACAGTCTTGATGGGCCGTTCTCTGCTGCCCTCTAGAGGTTAATCAGCCGTCATTGCAAATGTCATAAAAGGAAATCCACTTAGGCAAAGCTGGCAGAAAACTCCTCTCCCCATTCAAGGACAAAGAAAACAGCACATCATTTGAGTCAGGTATAGCTTCAAACAACATGAAATCGTTATGAAAACATAAAACACATGCATATTTTACTTATTAATGAAAGTCTTTTGAATTCAAACTAACCAACTGCTGTCATACTTGAGTTTAATTTGTAGGAAATTTTGTTTGAATATTGAAAATATTCCAGGTTTTGCCTGTGGATACTATTGTTTTATCATGACACGTGCTATCCATAGTTTACCATCCAGTGTGTCACCAACAACTTGTGAATTTGCATGTCTCTGGTTATGTTTCCACTAGCCTCAAAATGCCAAACCCATGTTCTAACGCTACGATTTCTCCATGTTTTAATATACCAACAAATTTCAGCAACGGTTATTGTACTCCCATTTTTAACAGTGAGAACCAGGACATAGGGGGACCGTATCATGGTCACAGGCTGCTAACAGACTGTGAAACCACAGTTGTAGAGACCCAATGTTATTTCCACACTCGCTCACCCTGCCTCCTCGAGAGAATAGTCCTCACTCTCTAAAAGGGAGCCATAGGCATTCTACACAACCTGTGTCTAATATTCTCATTGCCTTTCCCCGAAATTCCTCCTCCCTTCTGCACCCTCTGTCCCATTTTGAGGTCTTGTCGTCTATCAACTAGCTGGACAGGTAGCCCCTGCTTACCTTTCTCCTCGTCCCCTTGGGCCCATAGCTTACTACAGACTTTGAGTTACGAACCTTGAGTTCTCGGTGGCCTTCTGCCTTTCCGTCATTTTGGTGCAGGCTCAGGCCAAAGACTAACCACTCCCTAAAACGACACACTCCAGGTCACTGTTGTCAACCCAACCCGCATCAACGACAGCACGACTTCCGTCAAGAACCGGTTTAATCATAGCTTAATAACAGCCTTTCTGTGGCCCTTTCTTTCCTCCAACCTCTCACCTTTCCCACTCGTCCTGCAAATCTAGTTTCTACCTCCCAGAGACGACTCTCTCCGTTCCTTCACACAGAAAGTATTGATCAACTGCTTATCTGTGGTGGATTCCAGTGACGTGACGGAAAAGAGGAAGTACTTTGGCTGTAAGATTCGCAGTGACAGAAAGGGATGTGAACAGTGTGTACTGTTTGAGTACTGTGGGAACATGGAGCACATGATTCCTTCTCTATTGAAAGGTTCTTGAGTTAGGCGATAGGAGAAGTCTGTCATCACAGCATGGCCAAAGGCCTTCCAGACAGAGCAGGGCACAGCCTTGCAAAGGCAGCAGCTAGCAAGTGGCACCGGCTAAAACAACAGTTTTTTTTTCGAAGGGATAGAGACAATAACTAGAAATTAAGTGATTTAGAGAGGAAAGAAATTTGATGGGCCATTTAAAGAGAGATTCGGCCACTTTTCAGGTTGGCCAGTTTGTACCCATTGCAGAGCGGTCCAGATGGGAGATTTTGCATGGAAATGTTTTAAAGGCAGAGATGTTTTGCTTATTAGCACGCCTCATGTTTACAGTCACTTCATGTAACAAAATACCCAGGAAAACTAGGGGGGGAAACCTTTTCCTTGGGTTATGATTGTGATGGGGTAGGCATTTCGGCCCATGGTCTTTGTTTTGCACCTGTTATGAGGTGACACATCACAGCAGTGACATCACTCCCCTGATGGCAGCAAAAAAGCCCATGTGATTGGGCCCGGGGAGTAGGTTAGATGTCTGTCTTTTTCAAGGGTTCTACCTCCACAACCTAACTTCCTTACACTGGAGCTTTTAAACAACAGCAGGAGGAAAGACCAAGCCATCAGCACTGGAGTCTGGGGGAGTCAGTCATATCTAAATTATAACATGCCCAAACACCTAAGCCAGTGTAAGCCCAGAGGAACCCTCAATAAGTGTGTTGGGCCTTAGGAAGATGCTAATGGAATTGTTATTTTATTTGACCTTCTTTCCTCAAGTTACTCATTCAGTATCATTTCTTTGCACCACATCTTTCATTGCTATGAATATTAAACATGTTGGTTATCTGTGTATACTGCTCCCATCTTAAGAAGGCTGTGAACTATCACAGTTGAGGACATTTTCACCGTTGTCTGCATTTTCTCTAGTGTTTCTTTCATTCTGTTTCTCCATGATGCAGGAGGGAAAACATCCTTTAGCGCGCCCCCTGCCTGTCATCCCAACAATAAGGCGGGAGGACTACTTAAGTACAGAATAGTCTGGCTAAAGAGCGAGATGTTGTCTCAAACAAATGAACAGAGTGCTAATACAAGCAACTATTAAACATTTATATCACAGACGGGAAGTGTGTGCAGCTCCCTATTAACAGCATTTGTCCAGCGTGTGTCATGCTCTAAGATGAACACCCAGCTCTGAAAACAAATTATGAAAGTAGAAAAATCAGAATTGATAGGTCAGAAACAAAGTTATAAATGCCTTTAAATAGGAAATTGAGAAAGAATGTAAGTTGTGTCAATATCATTTTATTAAATTAAAACTCTCAATAGACAAGTGAAAAAAATAATTTATTGTAGGTTTTTTTACACAATTAACAGGTAACATTTATACATATATTGATGTGCTGATATGAAATACTAAATTTAAAGACAAACATTTTTACATAAAAGTAGTTGTACTATATTTGTTAAAGATAGATACCAATAAATTATCAGAGACATTTAAAGGATGATAGGCCAAATATTCCCACTCTAGGTTGGGATTAAAATGATTTTTCTGAATATTCTGAATATGATGTCCTGGATGCATTGCCATTCCTCTAAGCTAGTAACGGAAGCTCAGGCCTGGAGACAAGCCACGGTTGGCTCCAACAGTGTCCTAGCAATGTATTCCCAGCTTTGTTCTTGGATATAGCTCGACCCCCAACGCTTGCTCAAGCAAATGCAACCTTTGAGTGTGAAACAATACAGCCCCATCCCAGCTACCAGTATTTCTGAAACTCCATACAAGAACTGCACTACATATTAGGGCATATCAGAGGTTAGATAAACTAATTGGTGTGAGACTTGAATGAGCAGCCCAATTTTACAATAAAAGAAATGTATATTCTATATTTCCAGGAGAGAATTAGCATCCTTCAAACCACTCATTTCTTAGTATAGCATATAAATTCCTACTTCAGAAGTCTAGAAATAAATTGCATTTTTCCTAAAACTTAGATCCACTCCTTTAGAAAATGGTTTCTAGAACAACATGCACCAACATATGAACCTTGTTTTACGTCATAGTCATTAAAATATACATGTACATATACATGGAGAATAAAACAAACCTGTTGAGCCATGATAAATACGCACAAGGCCAGATTCTATTAAGTCTCATTTTGTCTAATTCAACAAATACATATTGGGTGTCTACCACTTTTAGGTCACCAGTATAGGTAACGCTTGCAGCAGAATTTCAGGAACGTGACGCTCAAATCATCCACATCAAAAAGCCAAACTTTACCATCACCTTAAAAAGTAGTCAAAAGCAGAGCTAACCTCGGATAATGAATAGTGTTGGATATGTGTAACTAGGTGAAAGCATTGGGGCATGAGAAAGGACAGTAGAAATCGATATCCACAGGGAAGAAGCGCTCCCAGGCTTGATACATCTTAGGCCGCCACCAGAAGCCAAATGACAGTTCTTGTTGCCTCACAATCTGAGACTCAATTTTCATCCTGGTTTGTTTCCTTAAATGGATGGAAAAATATATTATAGACTTTCCATATTAAGGAAGCTTATGGTGTCCCCCAAACACATTTTCCTGTCTGACAGTGGGGTATACATTTATATCTAGAGTTCCCATGAACCATCTCCAGCCCAGTTTGAGAAGAAATCATTCTTAGGGTCTTTTGGTCAAGAAGAAAGACACCAAAGAGCCCGCCTCTTCAGAAGGGCACCCAGGGGCATGCCACCCCCACAAGCTAGTTGTGTTTAGAGGAATAAAAGCAGCTGCAGTAGGGTTAAGTATTTAAAAGCTGCCTTTCCTATCCCTTTAATAGTTTGTTATATCCTATGAAAACATTTTTAGGGAATGTATACAGAGTGGAAAAGAGATGGGCTCGGGTCATCTCACACCCTCCAGAGAGTTAATGTGTCAAAGAGGGAACAAGTTGTACTTGTTCTTCTGGTTTTGACCCCTTGAGACAAAGAGGACAGGCCTGGTGGGAACAGTGCAGTCCTGCCTTGGCTTGGGGCTGGAGTGGAATCTCTCTGCACTTGAGAACCTAAATCTCTTCTAAGGAATTGTTTGGATTCTGAAAATCCAGAAGCCAGACATCTCTGAAGGAGAAAACTCTGAGAAGACCAGATCCAAGGGTCTTTCAAACACTGTGCAGGAGCTTCTTGTGACCTTGGGAGAATCCTAAGCTTTCTGAGTGATTAAACCGTCAGGAAATATGGTCATTGTGTAGACTTGCTGGGGGTCTCAGAGGGAGCAGCAGGGGCCAAGAAGGCTTCTTGGGTTCCTGAGCACTTGGGCTGTTTGAATTAGACCACAGAAGAATTACACCCTAACCCTAACCTATGGGCCTGAGGCTTTGGTTCCTACTTCATTACAAGACAAAAACCGAACAGCACCTTCTAAAGCAGATCTGGTTCTAACTGGTTTATCAGTACTGCAGTGAAGTCACCCTTTACTGAAGAGTTCATCTCTGTAAGCAAGAATTCTTTTCATTCCGAGGTCATTGCTGGTGTGTATGCTGAAACTCCCCAATTTATTTTCTTAGAAACAAAAGCAAAGATGCCCTGATGGGTCATACCTCTAAGCCTGTGTTTTTTCTGGATAGGAACCAAACTTGCATTGGTTCTTTCTTGCCCTTCATGGACACTGGGCCTCTGTGCTCCAAATGGAATTGTGGATCTGAATTTTCTGGAGACATGAGACACCTGAAAGACAGGAGATGGAGCAGAGAGGGAAGCTGATTAAGGCCGTGGAAAGAATCCAGACAACCAGATCCCACAGTGCAGGTGTAGTTAAAGACACTTAGGATTTTAGTAATGGTGCTTACGAGAAACCTCCACTGTGATGGAGTGGCTTACCACAGAAGCAGCGGTACACACTTCTCAAATAAAAAAAATAACAATCCCAGAAGCAGAGGGGAGATACAGAGGGTAGCGGCTGTTTAAAGGTAGTGAAACCACAGTTTGCCCCCACACTCCCCTGTAAAGAGCCTGACTTTTCCCTCCTCACCTGTATGTATATTCAGACACGTTAATCTTTCCCTTTTCTCCTGTGGTCTCTGTTCTGCTTGTGAGGTTGACGGTATTTCCAAAGAGGCAGTACCGCGGCATCCGCTGTCCTATGACACCCGTCACCACCTCCCCGGTGTGGATCCCGATTGTGATCTGGAGAAGGCAAAGTTGGACTTCGGTTGTCAACATATGTGTTATTTTACAGACTATTTCAAATGCCCTCATGCAACGTCCCTCCAAGAAGGGAAATAGTCTGTCCGAAGAGAAGAGGTCTTAAGATATAATACGGGCCACTTCCATGGAGAGGACCAGAGAACAGAAAGAGCGGGAAATTTCTTTATCCTCGGGATGGGCTGTCCACAGAACAAATGAGCTAATTTATTCCCATGTTTGGAGGAGTGGAATACAATAGTCAGTGTTCTCTCAGGATACCCCTTTCTGTACATGTTAACCATTTCCACATTAGAAGTGTACCTCAGTTATTAACCGGGTTCTACCATTAGCATCCCAGTGTCCGATTTCTCCGCTCACCTGAACAGATTCACCGTCGACCTGCACTTGACCAGCGATTTCCATCATGTCCAAGGCCAGGTGGCAAATGGACCGTGCATGGTGGATACAAGGTTCTGGTAATCCACTCACGGTCATGTACTTGTCACCAACTGTCTCCACCTAAGGTGACACACACACCCACGTGTTCAAAACGGGGCATAAAGTGACTGGTTATTATAATTATTATAAGACAGTATTTCCCA